CCAGCGTCTGCGAGGGTCTGCCAGTGTCTAAAACCATCTGCCACCGTCTCGAGGGCTAGGGAAGCATAGGTATCGATCTAGCGTCCGCAAGCGTCTGCCAGCGTCTACCCGTCTTCTGGCGTTCGCTAGCGACCAGGTCTAGAGAGTATGGGGAAGTAGGAGGGTAGCAAACAGTTGGATTAGGCGTCGTGAAATTGTGGCGTGTGCAACCGCACCCTACAGCTAACTCACACGCCGACGACGTCCAATAGAGCTATTTGCTACCCTCCTACTTCCCCATACTCTCTACTCCCGGTCGCTGGTGAACGCTGGTAAACGCCGGTAGACGCGTGCAAACGCTAGTTCGATTACTATGCTTTCCTAGCGCTCGAGACGCTGGCAAACGCTGCTGGACGCTGGTAGACGCTGCGAGACACTGGTAGACGCTAGCAGACGCTAGATCAATATCCATACTTTCCTAGTAGGTGGCGCTGCCGGACGCTCGGAACGCTGGACGTTCACGGACGTCGCCGCAAAGTATGAACGCAGCCTGAAAAACTGGGCTTTCCCAATGAGCTTACCGGGGAGCTCTTCGTCGTACCCGTCCTCCTCAGGTTCCGAGAGAGGAACATAGACGGGATCGTCTAGGGTTTCACTTCGTTTCAATGGCGGTTCCCTGAGCGGGATTCGGTCAGATAACTGTGAGTTCGTTGATGGGTAGACGTACGAGTCTGCTCTCTTCAACGGTGGCTCCTTGATCACGGAAGGAATCGAGAATGGATCCATACCTAAAATTACTCCGCAGTCATTCCTTCAACAAAAAAGCGATGCCCTCCCCTTTTAGAATGCGGAAGTGCGAATTCGATAGTAATTCGATCCATTCACCCCCACACTCACCTCGTTTTATCAATGGGGGCTCGCGAACTAGCCGTTTTTGAGTTTCTTCACTCGTTGGGTACTCATTTGCATAAAGAAGTGCCCGACCGCCTGTAATAAATGATCCGATTAGTTTTTGGGATTCTGTTTTCAGAGCACACTTATTCAAAGATCTGTCTTGGTCACTGAATCCTAGAGAAACAGATTGGCTCATTACGGCTAATTAATTTTCGGACTACGTCATCTTCCCACGGATCCCCTCCTAAGTGGCCAAAACAGGCTAATTTTTTCTTTCAGCGAAGCTTGCCCGAAAACGATTTACGATGCGCAACGCTTTCCTTGAAGACAATTCCCGCGATCAAGTGTTACTGGTGGTAGGTGCTCAGTCATGGACCAGAAGCCCATAAGTAACTCCCAGTAGAGAAAGAAGTGAAAAAACCTTGGGAATACCCTGTACAGAGATCTTTAGCAGAGGGCAGGCGCCTTGAACGAGCTCTCCAGACATCGGACAAGCCCAATCAGCAGGATTCGACGTGTAACCATTCCCGGCAAGAGCATAGGAAATCGCCCTACGACGCTCCAGGCAACGCTATGTACACACGCAATTCCGCTTGTAAGCCGTTGTCTTGCAGAGTGAAAGTAATCGTGGTTGCAATGGTTGCAATACTCACGCGTCTCTGGATTCTTATTTCAACTTTTCGAGTGACGAGCGTGATATATTACCTGCGAATGCGGACAACGATGCCACATGAACGGAGAATTTCACGGACCACTTTGATAGC